CTGGGGCGGGGGGGGGGGCGGTGCACGGGTTGGTAGCGGAGACGGACAGTCGTTACATAACCATTAAATTGAAATAAACCAGACAAAGGTGGAACAGCATCAAGGCACCCCCGCGATGGCTGGCACCCCTTCCTAGAGCGGCCAGGCGCAGGCAGAGGGAGCGATAACGTCTCCCGAAGAATGTCAGCAGCCCCTCGCGAAAGTTAGCCCAGCGCGGCCGCAGCGGACCAAGGGTTCGTTGGGGGCGTTGTGCGCACGCGCGGTCTGCCTTCCAGGCCGGGCGTTCAGCCCCGCCCCGCTCCAGCCCTTTCCCTCGCGCCTCCTGACCCTCTGACTTGCGCCGCTGGGCGGGCCGGGCATGCGCACACCAGAGGGCCCGCCCCATTTGCCCCGGAAGTGCTTTATTTGACCGCGACGCGCGTGCGCCGAACGAAGTCGTGGCGGTGGCGGATCGAGGAGGAGATAACGCGGCCTCAGGCTCTGGTGAGAAGTGGAGCCGGTTGAGGGTGGCGGCCGACTCGGACCGGGGGTTCCCTGGGGAAGAGCGGACGTAGGAGAGAGGAGCTTGCGACAGGCCGCAGGCCGAGGGGCGGGCGGCGGCGTCGCTCCCCTCCCTCCTCCCGTGAGCGTCCGGCCTTGTGCATCCTGTAGGTCCCGCGCTGGGCGGGCCCGGAGGGTCGGGCCCGCTCGGAACTCTATTTCCAAACTCCTGTTGGGAGGCCGCGCGCGGGGGCTCACGCCTGTAATCTCGCCGCTCAGGGAGGGCTTGGCGGGAGGATCGCTTGAGGCCAGGAGTTCGAGACCAGGCTGGACAACACAGTGAGACCCCATCTCTACAAAAAAATTTTAAAAATTAGCCAGGAGTGGTTGTTGTACCTGTAGCCCCAGCTACTCGAGAGGATCGCTTGATCCCGTAATGTTGAGGCTGCAGTGAGCCATGATCGCAATTGCAGTCCAGCCTGGGCAACAGAGCAAGACCCTGTTTCACAAAATGAAAAAGAAACAACTAAGACTCGTTGGGATCAGATCGGGATCGCGGCTGAAATGGTTTGGGCCTCCTTCCTTGTAGCCGAGAACGCTTCTGCATGCTAATCTATACCTGTGAGTTCACTGGGGCTCTGTGATATAACTCCTGTAAGCCTCATTCCCCTTAAAACGGGAGTGACAGCTTCAACACCATGCCAAAGGGACCAGAAAACGTTAGCTGGCCCCATTTTGCAGGTGCACATGGCTGTGACCATTGTTCGTGTGTATCCTTGGAGAACACCAAACAGCCAGGGGGAGCTTTGGAAAAGAGGTTGTTTGCTGGGTTTAACGAGAGAACGGTGTTGCCACCAAAAACTGATTCCTTCCCGCTGGTCCAGCCCCAGGTCCTGGAGGCCACCTTTCCTCAATTCTTAAGCTCATTTCCCCGGTCGTTGTCGGTTTTTTGTCTCTCTGTTTGTTTTGAGACAGTGTCTTGCTCTGTCACCCAGGCTGGAGTGAGTGCAGTGGTGCCATCACAGCTTACTGCAGCCTCGAACTCCCATGCTCAAGCCATCCTCCTGCCTCAACCTCCCAAGTCGCTGGGACCACAGGTGCTCACCACCATGCCCGGCTAATTTTTGTATTTTTTGTGGAGATGGAGTTTGGCCATGTTGTCCAGGCTGGTCTCGAACTCTTGACCTCAGGTGATCCACCCCACCCCCCCACAGCCTCCCAGAGTGGTAGGATTACAGGCATTAGCCACTACACCCAGCTCTTTTTTCTATTTTTTTGTAGAGATGGGGTTTTTCCACTCTGTT